AGTTTAACTCATGTATGATAGAAGAGGATGTAATTTGAAGTTAATGTTTAAGGTATTTTTTAAGAGGTTTCTGGAAATATCTATTTTACTCCTCTGTATTTGATTTTAATAAATTATTTCTGTAGTTTAGTAGTTCATTTTTTATTTCTGACCATTTTTCTGATAAAATTAAAGAAAACACTATTTTCGAATTGAATTTTGCTGCCAAAGATGAGTTTTCTGATGCGAAAAACAACTTAACAACTTTATCCATGAGTTTTTATCTTTTTGTTTAGTCCCAACAGAAATATGTAGTGCAATATTAAATATGCAGTAATTTTAATTTAGATAATCCAGTTTTATATATTTTGTAAATTTTAATCATATGTTTTTTAGCTTATACAGGGTGTCCCAATGTTTCGTGGACATAGAACTACTGCGCATTTTTGGAATCAAAATAAGTTAGTAATAAGTGCTTAGTGCTTAGTTTGTGCTAGAGGGTATCAAATTTAAAAAAATAAACACATTTTTTCAGATATCTTGACAACTGTTAAAAAGCAAAATAAAAACACTAAATCACCACAATACACCAAAACACTTTTACTTTTACACTGGACTAGCATCATCAGCAGATGATTTTAAACTTCTTAGTTTAATCTCCTTAGTTTATAATCATCTGCTGATGATGCTTATAAACTCGTTAGTTTATAATCATCTGCTGATGATGTTTATAAACTCCTTAGTAGTATAATCATCTGCTGATGATGCTAGTCCAGTGTAAAAGTAAAAGTGTTTTGGTGTATTGTGGTGATTTAGTGTTTTTATTTTGCTGTGTAACACCAACGGTGCCAACTCTCAACTGTAATTGACAACTGTTATTCCGACTTGTATGAGATTTTGGGTATCTATGTTTTTCTATACCGGGTGCGTCTCAAAAGTGGCTCACCCCTATAACTCTTTTATTTTTTCAGATAAAAAAACGAGATTTGGCATGTTAGTATATGACATAAATTAGGATTGACTGACGTATTCAATTGTTTTTGGTCACTTCATGTTTCACCGGAAAAGACTACAACTTTTGATTTTTAAATGGTACCCTCGGTGTATTTCTACTTTATTCGATAGAAAATGAAACTCTTAATCGAATGACATATCATATGTCAACTTTTGACATATTCGTTCAAAAACAAATTGTATTTTAAATTTCAATCTAGAGTGCCATGGCTGTGTTAAAAATACTAATTTTTAATCAAGGAGCCTTGGAAAAATAGATTGATCGTCTAATGTTTTTCATGTCTTGTCTTGGCCGGTTAAAAGATGCCCAAGTCGTATTTTTAATCATTCTCAATTTTTTCAAATGGAACAAGGGTGGCTCATTAGCATATTTGAAAAAAGCATTTTTTTACGAATAATTTGGTACCACACACTTGGTATTTCCAGTCAAATTGTCGTTAAGAACCTCAAATAAACCATATGCGAAAATGTCAAAAATTGACATATGATATGTCATTCTATTCAGAGTGTCATATTCTATCGAATAAATTAAAAAAATAGCGAGGGTGTCATTTAAAAATCAAAAGTTGTAGTCATTTCCGGTGAAACAGGAAATGACCAAAAACAATTGAATACGCCAATCAATCCTAATTTAGGTCATATACTAACATACCAAATCTTGTTTTGTTACCTGAAAAACTAATAAAGTTATAGTGGTGAGCCCCTTTTGAGACGCACCCGGTATATATCTATAAGTGCTTTAACATTTAACCGAGTCAAAAAATGTAGTAAATACTAGAAATACCATTTTACGAAAAAATTCGGTCGTTGGTTGAGTTGGAAAATATTTATACTAAAATTTAAACCCTTAGTAGTTTTTACCCTTCCCGTACTTTTCTTAATTTTGTGAAAGATCTCATTCAAATCGGAATAACGGCTCCTAAAATATCTAAAAAAAATGTGTTTATTTTTTAAAGGTTAATGCCCTCTAACGGGCAAATGAAGCACTTTGTATAGAGGTAAAGCGTGTCCAATGAACTTAATTTGATTCCAAAAAATACCTAGTAGTTCGATGGTCATGGAATATTGGGGCACCCTATATTTTCAATTTTGTTATTTACTCATCTAAGCGAAATTCATAATAATTATAAAATTATCTTTATTTTTAATAGTAATATAGTTTCTTGATTTCCCTAATACTTCTATACAAGAAAACGTATCTACATCGATTTAAACTTTAACGTTCTTCGTTGTCAAGGAAATGTTTGTAAATATATTATTTTTATATCCCTAATTTATTAAGTTAGCCGTATCATGTCAGTTTCTGACAAACGAGTGACAGCTGTTATATGGCTGTTATTATACTCCTTGGTTACCTGACGATTATTTTAGAAAAATTCGAAATTACATAACTGAAGTTTAAAAAGGACTAATATCTTTTTAAAATTAGAGTTCTGTTGTTAAGCGAGTAAGTAAACACAATATCACATATAGTAAATTACCTACAATCGTAAAATATATATATTTTTTACTTACAACCCTTTGTTTTAGGTATTTGTACAATACCTTCCACTACAGCTCCCATTTGCAAGTCGAAATGGAGGTCAGCGAGCAAGAATTAGAGCCTTCCAGCTTAGTTCCCGAGCCCAAGCAGCCCTCTCCCAGAAAAGTTAAAATAAAGGTAGAAAGCGACACGGATGAGGAATATCTTCCGGGAGGCAAGAAGAAGAAGGGAAAGGCCTTGAAAACGCCCAAAAAAGAAAAATCCGAATCTCCGAAGGTGAAAAAATCAAAACTGCAACGAAAGAAGCAGGAACATAAACTGTGGACTTGCAGACGCTGCTTGCAAGAGTTTGACACTCGAAAGGGCCTAACCGATCACGCGAAAATTCATCACGAGAATAAAACCTCCGACGAGCATACTTTTAAATATGATGACGAGCAGGACTTGTACTACTGTAACACTTGTTCGGCCGAATATCAGACTCAAGAGGAGGTAGAAAAACACATCGTGAAAGTCCACGAAGAATTTTACTCTTGCGAGGTATGCCACCACCAATCTAAAAAAGCTTATTCCTTCGCTATCCACATGAAAACGCATTCCAAAGACGATATGATGGTCTGTCCTCTATGCAGCTATAGCACTCCGAGAAGAACGTGCCTTCAGACGCACATTAACCGAGTACACTACCATAAGTTTTATTACACTTGTGGAACGTGCGGCAAAGGCTTCAACGACTCGGTGATTTTTAAAGAGCACGGCAACGAGCACATGGGCATCAAACCTTTTATTTGCGTGGTCTGTAACAAGGCTTTTTGTTACTCCAGATACATGACCATTCATCAGGTGAGACATCACACTGTTCACATTGAAGGAACTTTGCATAAAACCCAATGCAGCATTTGTCTGAAAGTTTTCTAAAGTGGACACGTTGTTGAAACACATCACCACAAAACATAGAGCCGGTGAAGATAAGAATGAAAAAAGACACTTGTGCGACTTGTGCGGAAAAGGTTTTGGTACCAGCGACAAGTTGAAAATCCATTACAGGATTCATACTGGTGAAAAACCGTTTTCTTGTCGATTCTGCGAGAAACGCTTTACTAAAAAGATTATCTGATTATGCACGAGAGAATCCATACCGGCGAGAAACCGTATCCTTGCGAGTACTGTGGAAAATGCTTTAACCAAGCTTGCTCTCTGAGAATTCACGTAAGAGGACACACAGGAGAACGTCCTTATATCTGTCAAATATGTAACGGAGGATATATATCACGAGGATCACTCAATTTACACATCAAGACTTGTAACGGCATGAGAAGTGACATGGCTAATGACATGGTTTAAAAGAAGCAACGTATTTATATGTAGGTAGATTAGTTTTATAGAGTTCATTTTGATTTGTTCGTTCCGTTTTCATATTGTTAAATTTTTATATCAATGATTTTTACTTAGAGTAAAGATTACTTTGTGCAATTTGTTATATTGTTTTCGAAGAAACGCAAAATATAATAAAGCTGTGTAGTTTGTTTTATTGTTGGGAAAATAAATATAATTTATTTAGAAAGAAAGAGAGAAAATATATTATGTATATTTAGAAATAACTTATATGGCTAGGTATTGTAAAAAGTACATGTATAAAATCGTACTATTGCTGGTAAATGGTTTTAGAGAAAACAAAAAATATATTATTACTAGGATTAGTTTAAAAAAATCTATATTAAATTTGTATAAATTTGAATTAAAATGCAAAGAAATTATTTATATAGGTGGTATTTCTAGATTTCAGTGGTTCATATTTATTGACCAAGTCTGCTGCCTGGCAAAATTAACTTTTACTGATAGTTCTGTCAAAGTTGGTAAACTTTTATAATAAAAACAAAAACTCTAACTTTTCATAACCTTGTTGTAACATCCAAATTTGTTATTTCTTTAAGATATAATAAATTTTAACATATTTTTTTATAAAAATACATAATAATATAATACATAAGAAAATATATAAAAATATATTGGACTTGATGAATAAACCTCTAATATAATGTATATGTTACAGTGAAAGTTCAACAAATCCAGTAAATGTTGACAATCACTAGGATATGCTAACAGTTACGCACTGGGCCAGTGAATGTCGTATTTAAAAAAAAAAATCGATTTTTACAGGTAATTATTAGCACTCACTAGTGAGAGTAAAATTTACTAAAAGTTATCAGTAAATGTTATTCCATTCCATTATACTGGGTGATCGAAACTGGTCTGTTTTAACAGTGAAAACCTATTTCCTGGCTAGATCCCAGACTAGATAAATGACATAGACATATGTAGATGTCATGGGCTTAATTTCTGAAACACGGTTAATGGCATAAATCGCCTGTTGGTATTTTCACTGCCAACTGACATACGGGGTCTTTTGAATTTTTACCTTTTTGAAAATAGCCAAAACTTTTTAATTCGCAGAATAATAAAATTCTGTGAAAACGTTCTTAAGGCACTTTTTAAGTACAATCCAGTGGCGTAGTGAGTTTTTTTGTCAGAAATAGGTAATAAAAAATTTATTTTTTAAATGGAAATCATAGTTGGACATGAACTTAAAAAATGCTGGCGTTTAACTCTTTCCAACGATATAAAGTTATGGGTATCTATTTCTAAGAATGAGAGAAATATTAGGTTTTTTTGTTGCCTAATAATTTTTTTCACAATTTAATATTCTATTTTATTATTTATCTGCATAATTAAAGACTTTTGAAAAGGTAAATTAAATTCTATATTAGTATTTTTAAACATTTTTATTAGGTTCATAGCCAACTATGATTTCTATTTAAAAATTATATTTTTTATTATTACTGACAAAAAAGATCAAGTATAGAAAAACTGACTACGCGTTTGTATTTTTTATTACCCGAGGAGAAGAAAAGCCTCAATAAGTATTTTTATTAACAAAAATCTATTATCAACGAATGGGTAGAAAAATCTAGGCTCCAAAACAATATTTTAATCGAAATTTGATTTTCATAAGTTGCTGGTGCATTCATGCACCAATGGGATAAAATGGGTTAAACGTGTCTCAGAAATCGAGCCCATGACATCTCATTCTCTGTTAAAACAGATCAATTTTGACTACCCTGTACAATAGGGAACTCGTCGCTGGAAGTTGGGACAAATAAATCGTTTAAGAATATTCAATCACCTCCATATTTAAAAAAAATTATCCGTCATCTTAAAATTACATGAAATCGGCAATAAAAACAGTCAAACATTAAGCGTCTAGCCGCTGTCGGATAACTACTGTCTATCATAATCGATATAAAGTTGTACGAATGAATTTTGATTGCTTTGGTTTCAATCTTTCTTTTTTTTTTCGTTATTCCCTAGTTTTCTCTTTAATTTTAACATGAATTTTATTGTGTCTATTTTAACACTGAATATCTCACGTTAAATTTTCCATCATCTCCTGTATCGATCGGCTCTGATCGTAATTTCCGCATTGTAAGTAACGGGCAGCTTTTAGAATATATTTAGAAGTGAATTTGAATTCATCTTCAAAGCTTGACACTTTTCTATCTAGTAGCTGCTAGATAGAAGTCAAAAAACAAAGCGAATTTCAATTTTAACATTCACGAATGGTAGCTGTAAAATTCACTAGTAAAATTTTGTTTCAATATTAATTGTTTACTTTTACTGGAGTAGTGTTGGTTAGCAAATCAAGGAGTGTGAGCTTCTACTGGTAATTGTTGACATTCGCTGATTTCTGACTTACTGTTTTACTCTAACATATACAGAGTGTCAAAAATACTGTATCTAACTTCGGTGAGTGATTTTGTAGATAAAAATACAACAGAAAGTTCCTATGAACATATGCCCTAAAATGCTTCCCGAAGAAGTTCCAACCCTTGAAAGGGTAAATAAAAATAATATACAGGGTGTTTCAAAAAACATGTGCCATCTGTCGTGGAGAGATTCCTCACGTAAAAATAAGATTTTTTTTTTCATATCAACATAGGTCCGATTCTGCTAGTTTCGTAGCTACAGGGTATTGTTTTAATAATTTTTCGATTTATTATAATTTTCTTCCAAGTACTTTGAGTGACTCGAATGAAATTTTCAGGGTAAAAATTACTATAAGTGCTACATATTTTAATGCAAAAAAAGTATCGAGAAATCAGAAATCCATCAAGGACGTGCATATGGGCGTCACTGACTTTTTTCTTTTGATATGAAAATTATGTAGGCCGTTTAATGTCAATTAAAAGTTACCTCTTGATATTTTGTCGAATTCGGCATCCTTGATGAGATAAACGCAATTTTATTAATCACAATTAATAAAATTAAAATAAAAATTAATTTAATAAATTATATATTTTACCTTATTTATTATTAAATATTATTACTATTGGTTATTATTACAGTTAGTTCAACCTACAGCAATTTCAAATAAAGAAATAATGGTATTTAAGATAATTACAAAAAAACTAATTTTAAAAAGTTTTAACATCCTGTAACTTTAAAACTATGCATTTCCATGCCAATGGAGTTTTTTTCATATTTTTTGACGATGAATCAATAAGTACTTATTATTTAAATTTATATCTCCGAAACTAAAGTTTCAAAAAAATTCGTAATATATCTAGAAATTCATTTACCCACTAGTAGTTATAAAAAGCATTTTTGGTAAACTCTGTCTCTAATAGTTTCTGAAAAATAAAATTAATTTTTTTAAAAATGTCCGATTAAATGAATATCTCCGAAACTAAAGTTCCCAAAAAATTCGTAATATATCTAGAAATTCATTTACCCACTAGTAGATATAAAAAGCATTTTTGGTAAACTCTGTCCCTAATAGTTTCTGAAAAATAAAATTAATATTTTTAAAAATGTCCGATTAAATGAATATCTCCGAAACTAAAGTTCCCAAAAAATTCGTAATATATCTAGAAATTCATTTACCCACTAGTAGATATAAAAAGCATTTTTGGTAAACTCTGTCCCTAATAGTTTCTGAAAAATAAAATTAATTTTTTTAAAAATGTCCGATTAAATGAATATCTCCGAAACTAAAGTTCCAAAAAAATTCGTAATATATCTAGAAATTCATTTACCCACTAGTAGTTATAAAAAGCATTTTTGGTAAACTCTGTCCCTAGTAGTTTCTGAAAAATAAAATTAATTTTTTTAAAAAGGTCCGATTAAATTTATATCTCCGAAACTAAAGTTCCAAAAAAATTCGTAATATATCTAGAAATTCATTTACCCGCTAGTAGTTATAAAAAGCATTTTTGGTAAACTCTGTCCCTAATAGTTTCTGAAAAATAAAATTAATTTTTTTAAAAAGGTCCGATTAAATTTATATCTCCAAAACTAAAGTTCCAAAAAAATTCGTAATATATCTAGAAATTCATTTACCCACTAGTAGTTATAAAAATCATTTTTGGCAAACTCTGTCTCTAATAGTTTCTGGTTTGGTTTGGTTTGGTTTATATCATTAACTTTCACAAGTTAATGATATAATTTTTTTTTAATAAGGCTGCTATTGACTTGGATCAATGCACATTAATAAAATTGCTTCTATCTCATCAAGGAGGCCGAAATCGACAAAATATGAAGAGACAATATTTAATCGGCATTAAACTGCTTACACTATTTCGCTAACAAGGGAAAAAAGTCAGTGGCGTACATGCTATCGTTAGAAAAATATTCCAGCGATAACCCATATGCACGTCCGTGGTGAATATGTCGACATTTTTTTAGATTTAAAATATGTCGCACTTATAGTAACTTTTACCCTCAAAATTTCTTTCTAAACACTAAAAGTACTTGAAAGAAAATTATAATAAATCGAAGAAATATTAAGACTTTAACACCCTGTAGCTACGAAACAAAGCAGAATCGGACCTATGTTGATATGAAAAATAAATCTTATTTTT